ATAAATCTAATATCACATAAACAGAAGCAAGGACAAAAATTATATGATCATCTCGACGCAGAAAAAGCCTTGACAAAATCCAACATCCATTCATGATGAAAACCCTGAAGAAAATAAGAATAGAAGGACCTTATCCTAATCTGATAAAAGCCATTTATGACAAACCTACTGCCAGCATCATATTAGATTGGAAAAAACTGAAAGTTTTCCCTCTAAAATCAGAAACAAGACAAAGATGTTGCACCACTTCTGTTCAACATATACTCAAAACACTAACCAGGGCAAACAGGCAAGAGAGAAAAAATAAAGGGGATATGTATAAGAAAGGAAGAAATAAAATTATCACTATTTGCACATATGATCCTTTACACAGAAGACTCAAAAATTCCACCATATGCTTGTAGAATTAATAACCATATCAGCAATATAGCAGGATACAAAATCAACATACAAAAAATCAACAGAATTGCTATACACCCATAGTGAACTCACAGAAAAAGAAATTAGAAAAATAACAACATTTACAATAGCATTAAGAAAAATTTCTAAGAATTAACCAAGGAAGTGAAAGACCCCTGCAACAAAAACTATGGTGCTCTGAAAAAGGAGATCAAAGAGGACATCAAAAAATGGAAAGATAACTGGGTATGGTGGTGTACACCTCTAATCCACGAACTCAGAAGGCTATGGCAAGAGGAATTCCATGTGTTTGAGGCTGGACTGAACTATATAGTGAGACCCTGTTTCAGCAAAAACAAGAAGGGGGGAGGAAAGAAGGGAGAGAAGGAGGGAGGAAGGGGAAGGAGGAGGAGGAAGAAGAGGAGGGGAGGAGGGAGGAGTAAGGGGAGGGGAGGGAAGGGAGGGGAGGGGAAATATTCCCAGTTCTTAGACAGACAGGACCAATATAGTCAAAATGGCTATAGTTCCAAAATTGATATACAAATTTAACACAATATCAATCAAAATACCAATAGCATTCCTCACAGGAATAGAGAAAATAAAATTCACATAGACCTAGAAGAGACTCAGAAAAGCAAAAGAAATCCCAGCTAATAAGAGTGAAGCAGGAGGCATTACAATCCTGGATTTGAAGTTACAACACAAAGCTACAGTAATTTTTACAAAAATCATGGTACTAGCACAAAAACAAACACATGGTCAGTGGGACAGAATACGGAATGTAGAAACAATCCCAGGCACGCTCAGCTACTTGACAAAGTCTCCAAAAACATATGCTGGATGAGGGAGTGCGTCTTTAATAAATGGTGCTGGGAAAATTGGCTTTCCACAAACAGAAGATCAAAGATAAATGCATATATTTCATCATGTACTGAAATAAAATAAAAATGGATCAAAGATCTAAATGTTAAAACAGAAACAATCTTCTGAGGGCCGGGGATTTAGCTCAGTGGTTCCACCGCCTGTCTTGCAAGCACAAGCACAAAGACCCAAGTTCGATCCCTGGTACCAAAAAAAAAAAATCTTCTGGAAGATAAAATAGAGAAACTTCTTAAAGATATAGGCAAGGGCTTTCTGTAAAGAATCCCAAAAACACAAGAAATAGTACTAAGAGTCACATCAAATTAAAAGGTATCTGCACAGCAAAGGAAACATCTAACAGAATGAGGAAACAACCTACAGAATGAGAAAAAAATACTTAAGGGTAGCACATTATTGATTCTCCAGGTATGTCAATATTCAGTTTGTATTGGACATTATTAATGTTGCTGACTATTTATTATAGCCAAGGTGATATTGTTGTTGCTATTAATTCATTTTCTCTGTATGTTAATGTCTGAATTGTCTACTCCTCAGCTACTCCTCAGTCAAAGGGCTAATATCTAGAATATATAAAGATCTCAGAGGGCCAGGGATTTAGCTCATTGGTGCCGCCACCTATCTCACAAGTGCAAGGACCCAAGTTCAATCCCCGGTACACACACACACAAATAAAAAAAAAAAAATCTCAAAAAAATTAGATCCTCTCAAAAATAAATGACCCATTCAAAAAAATGGGCAACTGAAATGAATAGACATTTCTCAGGAGAAAAAATACAAATGGCCAATAAATACATGGAGATATGCTCAACATCACTGACCATCAAAGAAATCCAAATTAAAAATGGCTGGGGATTTAGCTCAGTGGTTCTGATGCCTGCTTCACAAGCACAAGGTCCCGAGTTTGATCCCCAAAACAAAAAAAAAAAAATGAGATTTCACCTTCTCCAGAAAGAATGGCCACCATCAAGATCAAATAATAAGAAAAGCTAGCAATGCTGTGGAGAAAAGAAACACTTCTATATTGTTGGTGGAAATGTACACTGATACAACCACTATGAAAATCAGTATGGAGGTTTCTCAAAAATTAAAAATTAAGCCAGATCTAGTGGTGCACACCTGTAATCCTAGCACTCAGGAGGCTGAAGTAGGAAGATCACTGCAAGTTTGAGACTGGCCTGGGCTACATAGTGAGTTCAGGGCCAGCCTGAACTACAAAGGGAGACCCTGCCCCCAAAAAACAAGAAAAAAATTGAAAATTAGAAATTCCATTTGACCCAACTATTCCTCTTCTAGGTATCTTGCCAAAAATAGATATCTTTCCAAAAGAGTAAAGACATCATATTACAGTGATACATGCATACTCAGGTTTGTAACAACACAATTCATAATATCTAAATCTGAGAAGTGGCCTATATATTTATCAACAAATGAATGGATAAAGAAAACGTGGTATTACCGAATAGTTTCTCTGGTGTGCAAAACTATAATAGTACATAAGATCCTAATGATATAATTGACAATGTGAAATAGGAAGAAAGGGGCCAAAGGTGTAGGGAAAGTGGGAAGGGTAGGGGAAAGCTAATAAGGGAAAAGAAAAAAATATAAGAAAATGAAAAAATGGAAATAAAGTGTTTGTAAAGGGGGAGGGGAGGAGGGGTGAAGGGAGGGCAGGGACCAGGGGAAAAATGAGAACCAAGACCTGTCACGTGAAGGTACAAGATCCCAAGAATGAATGTAACTGTACTGTATACCTAAAATGTACCAATAAACTCAATGAGAAAAAAGAAAGAAAGAAAATGTGATATGTATATACAATAGAGTACTACTATGCCATAAAGAAGGATAGACTCAAGGCATTTATAAGAAAATTTATGCACCTTGAGACTATGATGTTAAGTGAAACAAATCAGACACACAAGCTTGAATATGGTATGACTTCCCTTTTGTGAGGAATCCAAAATATAAAGAGCAAAATAAAAGATAGATAAGAGGAAGGGGGAGAAAAAGAGAGAGAGAGATCTTTTTCAAAGGGGATGAAAAGATGGATGGAAGGGAGATAAAGGGGATGAAAAAAGAATTGAGACATGTTACATACATGTACCCACTTCTACCAGGAAGGTAATCATTATGTAGTGCAAACATGTACTCACAAAACATAGAAACTGAAAAAAGAAAGACATTATGCGTAAAAAAATAAAAAAGACCAATATCCCTTACTAATATAGATACAAATATTCTATTTGTAATACATTTTAACGAATCAAATCCAGCACTATTTAAAAAGATTACTAAAGTGTAACCAAGTAGAATTATAAGTTTCGTTTAAAATTTGAAAAAAAAATCCATGAAACTCACCACATCAACAGAAAGAAGGAAAAAATAACATAATCAGCTCATATGTACAGTAAAAAGTGTTTGACAAATGAACACACATCTATTATTTTTAAAAAGAAAAATATTCTCAGCAAGCTAGGAATAGAGAGAATTTCCTCAATTTTAAGTGGGATACATACACACTCACACAAAAAAATAAAGTAAATTTTCATCAAAATTAAAATTCCTGGGCCAGAGATTTAGCTCAGTGTTGCTACCACCTGCCTCGCAAGCACAAGGACCTGAGTTCAATCCCTGTACAAAAAAAAATTTTTTTTTTAAATTCCTGTGCTTCAAAAGATGCCATTAAGAAAAAAGGGCAAGCTACAGCTTGTAAGATAAAAGAAAAAAGAAGCTTCATAGAAAAGAACTTTAATAATTCAACATAATTCAGCAAGGAAACAAACTAATGGGAGATGTTATGACAAAAGATTTGAATGGGAATTTCACAAAGGAAAGCACACTGGTAAATAATAAGCACACGAAAATGTACAACATCATTCATCATCTGGAAAATGCAAATAAAAAGTTTAACAAGATTCCACTACACGAACACTACAACTGCTAATCATCCTCAAACAAGGAAATGCAAAATATTCCTTGGGTAAATTGGGCTTCTTCTCCCTCAAAGTTCCCACTTTGGGGGCCAGAAGTCAGTCAGATCTGTCCCATTTAGGTACCGGGCCAAAACACTACCTGCGGAGTCACTGACGAGACCAGGTGACGCCAACAGAAGAATTTGCTGAAACAGTCTATGAAATGAAAATTCTAGACACTTACAACTCAGTTACCTCAATACCCAAAAACTACAAACCTTCCCTTCCCCTGGCCCAGGCACGGGTAAGCCAGCACCACACTTTGTGTTTAGAAAGTTTTGAGCAATGCAGACCTGACCTCCAGTTCCAGCTCTAGCGTGAGTGGCTGAGGTCTTGGGCAAATTACTTCCTGTCTGAGCCTCAGTCTCCTCACTGATAAATTAGGGATAAAACCCCATGCCTCATTGGATTGTCACCAAAGATCCCATAAAAGAGTCACTTGGTACATGGCCAATTGTTGAAAACAAGGGCTGTTACTATTACTGATAAACCTGGCTGTCTTCCTCGTTCCCTTGGGGTGTTCTGGTGACCTTCTGATAGGCAAAATTCCTCACCACTCTCTGCTAGGATGTCATCCCAGCAATGGGCTTGTCAGGCCCAGGTTTTTCCGTAATTTGTCCTGCTCTGTGTCACAGCAGGGACCACAGGCCTGCAAAGCTGCATTTCCCAGACTCCTGTGGCAGCTAACTGGAGGCACTGGTGAGAGACTGGAGGGTGGAGAAAAGGTCTAAACCAAAGTTCTCCTCCTACCTCTCCGCCTGAGGTGTCTCCTTTGCTGCAGCCGCTCATCGACAGCTCCGGCTTCCACTGAGCAGGCCTGGCTGCTTCCACAGTGGGCTCCAATAACCAGCTTGGTTCTCAGGATTCCTGCCCTTTCCCAGCCTAGGCTACTTCACTGTTTGTCTTCTGAGCTCATCCACATCACCTGTGTAACAAGTTCCCTGTATTGCACCCACTCTGTTGTAAGTACATGGCACGGTCCTGGTTTTTCCATGTCAACCCCTTCCAGATTAATGATTGGCCATCCGGCACTTAGGATCCTTGAGATTTGCAGAACATTAATTGTAATTGCTTACTCACTTGTTCTGAGTTCACTGTCAGTGCCAGCCCTGTATCAATCACTTGCCGAGGAAACTTTGCATCCTTCTGATCCTTTTAGCAAAATGCCTGCTGCTGATTTCTTATTACCCAAGGGGATGGAATGGCTTCTCTGTGGTTTAGAGGTTTCATGGACAGATGCCCAGCTCTGAGTATATTTTTCTGGAGTTTATCTCTAGTGTACAAATTGGTGAGAATATTTTATCCTTTCCTTTACTGGAGAAGAGCAACATCCTTAATGAGATCCCACTTTACAGTGGATTTCTTCTCTCACAGAACTCTGTGCCTTACCTGTGGTCTGTCGGAACACAGCACACCCGGTGGTGCCTCTCTGCCCACACATCACATATAGACCAGGCATAGCTTCTCAGACTCTTGCTGAGAAGTTTCACAGACAAGGTGGTTTAGGCTGTATATGCATGGTGCTGGCTTCCTGGGGGAACACACCAGTTAGGAAAAAAACAAACAAACAAAACAAAACAACAACAAAAAAAAATCGCCTACCAGAATCAGCTACATAATTTGCAGGGCCCAGTGCAAGCTGCAAGTTTGGGGCACCTTATTCAAGGCAATAACCGTAGAATGTTAAATCCAGCACAAGGCCCTGTAGGAGAGCAAGGTGTGTACCAGGCACCCAGCTCTTCCCCACCTCCCCCTACACAGGAATAGAATTGCTTCAGGGCGACCAGATCCAAGTATCCAGCACAGTGCTGAATGGTGTGGAGAACATAAATAGCAGTGCCTGGTTCCTGTAGGTGACTATCCCAGGTGTGAATGAGTATGCAGGAAGGGCAAGAATGGAGGAAGGAGGCAAAGCTGCTTACCCTGAAAAGCCACGGTAAGGGGACCTATCTTCCTACATAATCAAGCTGTGGGCCCCTTTTTGCCCTCCCCCATCAACACAACCATCACCACAATTTCAACCCCAAGGTTTTGAAATCTCAGTCACCTTCCTCATGTGCTGCAGCCATGTGCCTTTGTGTTAGCTGTGCAAGGTCTCACTAAGCTCAGAGAGAGGGGAAACCATTTAGCCTGAGCCAATGACATATCAGTTCATCACATTAGCATATCGTATCAATCTATGTGTAAGGAAAGAAATCTCCATATAAAGACACAAGCATTGACAAATGTAGAGGGCACATGATCATGAAAGAGAACTTGACCCTTGGGATAAACCCAGCGCAGGGGTGGCACACAGTTGGGCAGCCACGCGGTCTAGAAGAATTGTTTCTCTGCTGTCATCTTGAAAGTCTCTGAAAGTCATATCATCTTTCATCCATATCTCTAAGTGATATGTTTGTTACACACACATCACTGTATTAATATTTTTTCATATATTAGTGTCAGTGTGGTTGCGTGAGCATTCTATTGAACAACTTTATCCTGGGGTTCATCTCGTACCCCAAGTGACCCTTCAAATTAGCCAAAGTGTTGGGTTGTTCCTTGCCTGCCCTGGGCATAAAATCTCAGGTAGTTCTCAAAGCTCTACCGGTCACTTTTAGATAACGAGTAGGCTTGAAGTCACTTTTAGTCACAAGCACAGTCTCCTTTCAGTAAGTAAAGTGCCAGGCACACAGTCATCATTACTGAGTCCCTACCCTCAAACAACCTTGTGTTCTCCCCATCTTGGACAGCCTCAGCCAGGGAGGCCTTCACAGGCCAACAGTCACAAGGAAGCCTCCCCATTCCCCAGCCTTGTGCATCCTCCCACCTCTGAACACGCACCCATCCCGGAGGCCTCCATGGAAGTCTTCTCCCCTCTCTCCTCCAAAGAGCACAAACTATAACTAAGTGTCACTGATGTCCAGATTCACTCTTCACTTAGAGGTGTTTTTCTGGGTTTCTCTCAGACTTTTCTGCTGGGAATGGTCCTTCTCCTGCTCCTGAGGACACCCCATCCCATGGGCTTCTAGAGGTCTCCCCACGGAGGTATTCTCAGTGAGAGGTCACACTGTCCCAGTAGCCAAAACCAATGGTTTCCTGCAGGTCCCTTGGCTAATGGGGAGGCTCACAAGCCCAGGTGCCCAAGCCCAGGGGACATGTATCAGACTTTCTGAACAGTCCCTTTGAACTTGAAGTGAGAAGTAAATAACACTCCCAGGTGGGACAAGTTGGGGGACAACAGAAGGGGTTATGGAATAGCTACATATGCTATATTCCAATCAGTCCCTAAATCCTCTATCATGGAACTTTACTGAAGCCCTTCTACAACCTCCTATGGGTATCATTTTAGCAATCAACTACCTGCAAATGAATGCCTACTTACAGAAAGTATATACGGAGTTTTCATAAGATCATGCGTGCATTGAAATTTGAATAATGTAAATTATAGGCATGAGAAAAATAATCTGAAATTATCCTTTAAAAGCAAACCTGTTGCACATGAGGCAGTGTGGTTCATCTAGTCCACCATTTTTTCATGCAAGCTGTGCTGCTAGGCTCTGGCCTGTAAAGGCTCCCATCTTGTCAAAGAGATAAGCCTGTGAACAGAACACACCAAGGGGAGGTAGCAAAAGAGACAAAACTCACCAGGTATAATCGAGGCAAATATGTGCATCTGTCTTGGTTACTTTGCTTGTTGCTGAGACAAAATACCCAAACCCAAAGTTAAAGGAGGAAAGGTTTACCGTAGCTCACAGTGTGTAGACGTTTCAGTTCATAGTTGCCTGGCTCCAAGGCAGGGTAGCGTGGCATAGGAGAAACAGTTCATAATAGGCAGAAAATGAAAAGGCAACAAGCAGCAAAGTAGTGACGCAGCAGCAGCCTGCCTCTCCTTTTTATCTCTTCCAGGCTACCTGCTTTTTGGATGGTGCCGCCCACAGCCAGAGTCGGCCTTCTCATTATCCATTTCCAGAACTGTCACAAACCAATCAGTGGACTAATTTAGTAATCACACAACATTAATCCCAGCATCATACACCTATTCCCAGCATCACACACCCTAGATCCAGCCTCCTCTGAAAAGCCCCACCTATGACTGCATGAGGCTTTTGGGTGACATCTAGATATAAGCCACAACAAAGTCTTACACTCCATGCTAAGAAGTTTGAATTTTCCCTTAATCGGGTGGCTTCCCTACCAGGTAACCTGGAGCTCCCAAGAATCTGAGTATGCAGTTATAGAGAGGGCTATTTTCAGCAAGTCTAGAAGCTTAACAAAAACATACATTCATGCAAGGTAAGTTTGCATAGGTCAGTAATATACTGAGTTTCTTTGCTTTGAGTCAACCTTTTTTTAGCACTTATCACCTGCTAATCAACAATTCTGATTGATAGCCACATAGCTTTAATTATTTGTAAATTGGGACATGAATTAATTCAGAAGTTGTAGAGTTTAGTCAACATGAAAAAAGATAATTTAAATAGGGTCCCAAGGAGGGAGTGTTAAGATGGGCAGTGAGCAGATAAGTTTTTGAACCATCTCTCCGCAGCTACAGTGGGAAGAAGAACTGGAGAGACCAAGCAAGCATGAAGGTAGGAAGGCAAGCATGAGGGCAGGAAAGCTGTTTAGGGAGCTGTTCCAGATACTGGAGAGAGAGGGCTGGTGAGGGCTCTGGTCTTCTGAAACTGCCAGGCCACCAGCCAGTCCACAGTTACTCATCGAGCAGCTCCAGTGTGCTGTGCACTACTCTGTGTGTTGGGCTGAACCTCAAAGACAGAGACTACACTTGCAGAGCACGCTGCCCATGCGGAGACAATGGTAAGTCATCACCCAAGTGGGCGTGTGGCTCCAGATCAGCCTGGGTGCTATGAAGACAAGGTCCAGGATGGTAGCCGAGAAGGACAGAGTCCTGTTATTGATTGTATCGGTGATTGTTAAGGTTTTGTGGAGACATGCTAGAATGACATGCTGGGAGGATGCATCATCCATGACCACTACTTCACTGCTCTTTACCAAAGAATGAGAATGGATGGATCCACCTTCTGTACCTGAGCCATCCTATACTTACTGTGCTAAACTGCTTCCTGTTGTCATAACCATAAAATACCTCAGGCTGAGTACTTCATAAAGAAAATGGTTTACCTAGCTTGTAGTTTAACAGATAGAAAGTCCAAGATCAGGCAGTCCCATCTGTTTGGCCTCTAGTAAGGGTCTCCCATTGGCCTCATCACAACATGGCAGAGAAAAGGAAAAGATGCTGGCTGCATGCCGAAGGAGCCAAGCAGACAGGGTGATCTCACTATATAACCATGCACTCTTTTGAGAGCTAACTCGCTCCATAGGACCAGCCCTAAGCCTTTCTATGCTGCCACTGTGACCTTGCCCTAGGCCCCACCTCTTAAAAGTTCCACCACCTCAACACCACCACTGGGGACCAAGTGCCCCACACATGAACCTTTGGGGAACACAGTCAAACCACATCTAAACCACAGCACTTTGTATTGCAGAACCAGCAGAGGATATATGCTCAGTATTTGTCAAGTGGGTGAACAAATAGAAAACTACAATCTAGGCTTCAGCCTACTTAGCAAACATGTAATCCTAATAGGACACTGCTCTAAGTGCTTGACAAATATTGACTCACTTAATTCTCATAGGAACCCTACTTGGGAAGTAGACCTGAGGCAGATATGATACTACTACAGATGACAAAACTGAGACTTGGCACAGGTAAGTCTGGCTCCACAGATCTGCTCTTAGCTTCTACATCAAAGGCTGCTGCGGGAATGTTCATACCCCTCTACATGGTATCCACATGGCTTGGGAGTATGCTGGAAATGTGAATTTTTGGGCCCTGGGAAGAGGGTCAGCACCCTCTTCAACAAGCCTCTAGCTGACTCAGGCCTGACTAGTTTGAGATGCTGTGGTCCACACCAGCTGCTCTGGAACTTGTCTAGTCCAAAGAAT